GACTGCTCCCAGGCATACATTTTGATGACTCGCATCCCCGATATAATCTCATTCATGAGCCGCAGTCGACTGTCCGTTAACTGTGCGGTCATTAGCCTATTATTTAAACATTAAACTAATCACTACATAATGACCAGGGTGAATTTATATATCGTCAAACATACCTAACTTTCGAGATGAGTTTGCTCATAAATGCCTGAAACAGCATAAACAGCAGCAATAGGGCCACACCTACGAAGCAATAGTAACCGATCTCTGTATATATGATATATACAGCGATCGCAGTCTGTATGGGCGCTACGAGTAAATAGCAGGCGTCCATTGAAAACTGTATTCAAAAAATTATTAATCATTAACAAAAATCCATATTAGGTATAGGCGCCACAAATATAGCACATACGGCATCAAATCTGCTGACATCATTGGACATTAGGTTCACGATGTGGCCCACCGTCGCTTTGCCCAGGGATGCCCGGCTCAGTCTAAGTGACTACGAATTAACAACAAACACGCATGTAATACCAAGGTTACATTCAATTGCGTAAAAATATATATACTTTTTTAAACATGAGAGTACAGGTGGAGGCGCGTATTCGCATGCCCATTTGCGTGGTCAACAAATTGGCCGGGTGGTATAGCGATATAAACAGGGCTGAACTATAGCACACTCCCCCGGCGGCCACGCACGCATGGTCGAAGGTGCTAGTTTTTACCTTGCTAAAATAGTCTATCACTATGCCTAGCAGCACGGGTTGAACTATACGTACAACGCATTCCTAGTTACCATAAAAAAAGGTTTTAACATTTTTAATAAATAAAATTATTCATATTTATTGAACATGGTGGTTTTTTGTGCATTATTCGAAATTATAGGCTTACCGACAATATAAATATGGACAGGGGCAGTATAAAGTACGCCCCGTATGTCATAACCAATGCCCTCCAGAATTTGGGCGACTTTTTTTTGACGTTCATTATTCCAGTGCCTGTAATGTAGTCACAATTTAGTAGACCTCTAATCAGCCCTCCCTCCCATCCCGGTGCTCTATATCATGACTGATTCACTAGACTCCATGAGCCCATACATACTTTTCCAGCTCCTGGACAATCCGTTGCGACTCGTCGTGTCGGGAGCACCGGAACAGGTCGTCCACATCGAGACGATTCTTACGCCAACCCGTCATAAACACCGGTAATACCCATCTGTTTGGCACATAATTGTAAAATAAGTTGAAATAAATATTTTTTTAAAATCTCATTGTTATCCACAATACACACCGAATTCACTGAATATTTTTTACAATTTTAGTATAAAATTCAAATATAATATTTAAACAATTTGCTGTGAAATGTCCACAAACTCTCAACACATGGCAATACATTTTTACTACCAGTACATTATTTTGATACAATCAACTATTTTTTACTATATAAAGTGCTAAAGTATGATCAAGACCATTTAACACTTACGTGAAAAATATTTTTT